CTCCTACTCCTACTCCTACTCCTAAGCCTGCGCCTACGCCTATGCCTACGCCTACGCCTACTACTACTATTACTACTACTACTACTACTACTCCTCCTACTACTACTACCACCACCACTACTGCTACTACTCGTTTGTCTACTGCTAGTCACTATTCCTATTTCTAAGATTCTAACTATTGCTATTCCTGTTGCTTTTTCCATTATCCTACTACGAATACTATTACCAGTGCGTTTATTATGTCCAGTACGAGCGCCCTTGCTGGTGGTATTGCTATTACTATTGTTGTAGTATTACCTGTTACCTGATGTATAGCGAGTTTGGTATGTTGTCTGTGACAGGCTTCGGGGTTGATCGGAATGTGCTCATAGGCCAATGCTATTCAAGGACGTTCTTGAGTTGGATGCTGGAGTTGCGATGATTGTGTGACACTGCTCTAAGGCCCAAGCCGTCAACCCCGTTGCTTGGTCTTTGCTGTCTGGTTGTCGACCTAGGACGGGTCACCGATTAAAGTTTGAAGGACTTGGCATCGTAGCTTTTCTCGAAGATGACAACGCAAGCAATGTAGCCAGAGGTCGACTACCGAAATCTGCTGTTCGCTCAGGGCATCTTGCAGGCTGGATCGACGGGGATCTTAGGTTTCGCTCCTTGACGGACGGTACTGCAGGAAACCGAGGTGCCACAGCATTTGTCATTGAGGGGTTCGGAGTTGGAGTTGATGTTCACGGGCGACGCGACCTGAGCATGAATAGCTATCGCGCACAGTGACATCGCCCATAACCTGAAAGTCTAAAGAAAGCGGCCTCCCTCGTGAAGACTTTCACCCTCGATCTGGCATTGTCGCTTCAATCAAAGGCCACGACAAGCGGTAAAGTGATGGCTCAATGAGATAGGCTTCCCTTCATGGTGCGTGCTTTTGATAAGGGCTGCGAGGTTCATCGAAAGAGGCTGAATCATGGGGTCCGCTTGCCAGGCTGTAGACGTACAACCTGCTGGCTTTGACATGCTTGGTGTCCAGCTCGCTTGGAAATAATGATGTGGCTCATCCTGAACACCGAAAGGCCTCATTAGAGGCATGGCGATCTTTCATGATGGGTCTTCCGCGGCGAGTTGGGCAGACTGGTGCATCAAGACCAACACCCCTATCACCCCCAACCAAACAGTGAGACAGAGTTATGCCCAAGTCACGGTGCGAAGCGTTTGGCTATAAGCTGGTTGTGCCGACACCCCGTGCTATAGCAGAGACCTGCTTGTGCATGCGCGCGTGCGCACATGGTGTAGAACCCGAAGTCGTGCATGCGCACGTGCGCACGTGGTGTAGAACCCGAAGTCAAGAATTTGGACTTGCCCACGGTTTTTGCCCCATCCTGTGCTTGAGAGCTGCATGAGGTACAGCAGCCCAGTCAAAGCTGATGAAGCACCGGAGCGAACCCTTCGCCCTGTGGTGGCAGCGGAGACTGAACCGAACTTGGTGCAGGCAAGAAAGCTTAGAGGATCATGGGACTTAGTAATTAGGTCTATAAATAAGGTAACTATAGTTATAGTGGATTATAATTCCAATCAAGGTACTTATAACCTTACTTACTAAGTCCCATGATCCTCTAAGAGCATGCTTTCGATTCGAAACAGTTCACGAGTTGCCCTTCGCTCTTCGCACGAAGTGTTGCTTCAAATAACACCATCTTAGACTTGGCTCGTTCAACGTCTATCTTTGTTGTGGGCAAGTCGTGCCACGAAGTTGGATATGTCGGGGACACACTGGGAATGTGAGATTAACGAATTCGGTGCCCTTTGTGACAAGGCGCCGCGCACGATGGTGGACGAGAGGCCGATCCGGCCGGCGACACAAGTTGCTCTTTCGGCCATCCTGGAAAACACGCAGGACCGAAAGTTAGTTCCGGCACCAAGTCAAACACCGATCTTGCGCTTTAGCCACGAAGCTTGCATCAATCCCGCTAGAGCACTCGTAAGTAATGCTGCTGTTTAGCTGCTGCATCGATCCAAGCCAAAGCCCAGAAGGTCTAAATGATGAGGTATGAGATTTATTGTTTAAAGTTTAGTGTCGTTTAAAGTTTAAGATGCTGGGGTTAGGGTGTCTGCCAATCCTTTTTGCGTACTTCCGCCGTTTACGAACGCGTATCTTTCCTGCACGAAAGCCTGCATTCGGGCAGCATGCTCTGCCTGGTAACGTGAAAGGGCTCGAACTCCAGCTAACAGCAGATAGCTCACGCCCTGGTGTATCAGACCCTTGGAGCTGAGGGTCCCGCACCGCCCATTGCCGGCTGCCAGGACTCCCTGCTGTACACGGCAGAGTCAAGCTACTCAGCTTGAGTTGGTTGTTTTTCACGAGATTTCGGTTTGGATGGTTACCTCATCCGAGCTCTGTGTGGGCAAACCCAATTCTTACATTCACACACAGGCACAACAACAACAACAGGCTTGAATCCAAGCCGATGCGAAGATCTCCCGTGCAGCACGGAGCTCTTGAGCCATGAGGTGTTTTGAGCTCGCTGGAGCGATCCATGAACTTGGACGCGTCGTCGGCTTCGCAAGAAAAACTCCCTCTTCGAAATCAGGAGGCAAGGATGTCATGGAATGTAACGTGTTCATCAAGTGTCGGTCTTTCCGGTCCTTCAAATTTGTGGGGCTTGGGATTCAGAATGTGGCTTTGGTTTCAGCTCGGGCCCAGAAGCGTTTCAGCTTGAAGGGATGAGTGGCGCTCACCTCCATCGCGCAGGAGGCCTTGCGTGAACGCACTCATTTTAGCAGCAGGATGCGACACTTGCAGGTGGCAGAAGAACTGCCTGCTGGAACCTCACAGACTCTGGAGGACTGGGGGAGGGTGGCCCGGGCAGGAAAGCGGCTGATCCTGCATGTCTCGACCACTGCTACTATCACTAGTATTGCCATTACCAGCATGATCATTACTGCTATTGCTATGTTACTGCTGTTGTTATTAGTACCAGTATTAGTCGTACTAAGTGTTATTGCCATTCTTCTTCAGCCCCTGGCCGTGAGAAGGACGTCTTGCCTGGTGGCTGTGAGCCGGAAGCTGTCGCCCCTTGGCCAAGCGTCTCTTTTGTATGTATATATATATATATATAAGCATATATATATATAGAGAGAGAGAGAGAGCATATTTGTCCTTCATATCATACATTGATCATGATCGGCCTTGCATCCGACCCTAAATCCACAAGCATGACAAAGCTGGAGCTTCATCCTCCAGGCTTGACGGTTCAAGCAGGGTCCATCGTTTCTCGGGGCGCAGTGTGTGAACGGTTAAAGCCCGACGAGGCAACGAGTGTCCTAAGCTAATGTTTGTGAAAGCCAAAAATGCGGCTGACTCCTCTTCTCTGTTCAATCGTGACGATTGGACGCCATAAGATCATCATGCTCACCCTGCTCCACATCACCACTGCTTCTTTGATCAACATTGCTTTGGGTAGCACTGCCACGACCGATACTGCAGCTGCTGGTACTGCTACTACGGTGGTACGCGTTGTAGTACGATGACGTAGAAGAACGGAAGTACTACTGATGCATGCAGGGATCTGGGCCGCAGCCGGCACCACCCGACGCTCCCAGCGCCACTCCGCCTCAGATTTGTTCTGCTTTCTTTGGAGCTTCTATATAATACGGAGCTTCTACATAATATGTAATAAAATATAGAAATGAATACAATAGGGTATACAGCAACATAGTATAGTATCAGGTATGGTATATAACAAGAACAATAGCAAACAAGCAAGAACAATGACATCTACCAGCAGCTAGTCGTTATTGGGGTTCGGGGGTTGAAAACTTGAGGAAGTAGGGGCTCTGAGAGGCTCGGTGGGGTTCCAAGTCCATGGGGATCTCCCCACGAGATCCCACCCCCCACCCCCTCCCATTTCAGGGTTGAAGATCTAGGCTTTTTGTTTGTTCTTGGGGTGGGGGGGAGGGGTGGTGTTTTCCTGAAATCATTTTAGGGACCCTAGAGTAGTAAAAGGCGTGTGTGTGTATATAGATGTGTGATTTCTTGAAGGGGTTTTCCTTAAATCACCTTAGCTATCCCAGTATACCTGGAGGATCTTGGGACTTAGTAAGTAAAGTTAAGTACCTGAGAATCGGAGCCATAAGTAGTCAGAACTGTAGTTACTTTGTTTATAACCCTAGCTACTACGTCCCGTGATCCTCTTAACAGTATCAGGTGCATATACATATACATCTACATATACATATACATGTATATATATATATTCTATGTGTATACATATATACATGCATATATATATATACATACATATATTTTGTGTATATACACCCTAATGCAGGGATACCTGGACACCAAAGAACCTATTGGTTTGGGTTAGGGCTTAGAACCTATTGGTTTGGGTTTGGAGTTTAGGGTTTAGGGCTTAGGAACAGTAATCCAAAGAAGCAGCTTTCTCCCGGCAATGCGCTAATGCCACAGGAGATGCTGAGGCCTTTGTTTCCCGGGCTCCTGTTCCAACCGCCTCACCCTGAACCCTAAACCCTAAACCCTAATGAACCCTAAACCCCAAACCCTAATAAACGCAAACCTCGAATTCAGTTTGAAGGTCGCGCGATCTCCCGATATTTTTTTTCCAGCCCGGATGCCGAAGTTCCCTGAAGCGACCTAAAGCGTCTGCGTTATATGATAGATTTAATTAACGTGTCACATAGACTTTACGGTATTTAATATGGAAGAACTATAATACACAAATTATGCAGTATGTGTGCATTTCATGGAGTGATTTCCGTGAAGCAGTAAGACCCTAAACCCTACATTAAGCCCTGGACCCTGAACTCTCAACCCCAAAGCTTAAACCCTACTTGGAGGATCATGGGACTTAGTAAGTAAGGTTGTAAGTACCTTAATTGGAGTTACAATAAAATATAACTGTAGTTACCTTGCTTATAACCCTAATTACTAAGTCCCATGATCCTCTAGTCTAACTAAACCCTAAACCGTAGGAGTCGGCGGCTAAGGTCATCACCCTCCACATGTCGGCCGACTCTTGGACGCAGCCAACACCCAGAGACTCCAACACACCCAATAGTTAAGGAATAGATCTTAAATTATAGGGGTTCCTTACTATGATTTAAGAATATTCCTCAGTTTAGACATATACCTTAACTCACCATAAGATTCCCCATATATTTTAAGGTCTATTCCTTGCTTAAGGGCTTTTTGGAGTCTCTGGGAGCCACCTGCAATACCAAACGCGCCCAAAACCTCATGCTGCACATCTTTGGGAAACAAGACGCGTAGCCTCAAGCCGTCACCTAGTAGTCGATTAGGCAACCAGGAACCTTTTTCGGGGTATTATTATCCCTATATCATCCATAAGGTTAACCTTTCGTCCCCCAAGGATACTGGACAACTAAGCTCAAACTGGCAGCAAGATGTGGCATGTGCAGAAGGCCCGGCTTCTCACAGATCATCTCATGTTCAGGAACTACATGTAATTATCCCTAACCCCCCAGGTACCTACTATATAGGGCCCTAGGGGCTCTAGTACCCTATATAGTAGGTACTTGGGGGGTTAGGGTATGTTCAATAAGTGTCTGGTTGCCGACGGTTTCCAGTTAGTGAACACTGCGCTTGGCTGAGGAGGGTGGCAACTCCGAATGTCCCGCACCTCCAGCTCCGCCAGTAACGAGCTGCTTGGCCAAAGCTCCCCAGCTTGGGCCACGCACAATCCATGGGCATGACTATCATTGTGGTCGCTGTTAACGTAGCTATTGTTGCTCGTCAAGTCTTGTTGTTCTTTTAATCAACAGTCTGGCTATCATCCACTATTTTCATCGTCGTCATAACTATGCCTGGTTTGTCTTCATCCTTTGCTTGAATGCCGTCACTTTTTGCAGGTGTTGAAGCCGATGATTCTCCAGGAAAGCGCTGCTGTACCGTGATGTGATTCAGCTGTCCAGAACTTTCTTTTCCAAGGGCACTCATGCAATGTGCACTGAAAACGGTTCCTTCCCTTTGCGCCTTTGTGTTACGAAGTCCATCACAATCTGTGGGGCACAAGCCTACAGCAGTAGAAGTGATGTTCCCAGAAGTATATCGGCACAGCCAGACGACTGGCGTGAAGAGTGTAGGCCCGTGACAGCCGTCCGTATGAGACCTCAGCTGGCAAGACTCTCATCCTTGATTCGAATTCAACACAGATCTGTACTTGTCTTCTTTGGACTGGAACCGCCTCTGTTGTAGGAATTCCTCTCCTTGATTCCGACTTCTCGGTCCCGGAGCACTCTGCAGCATGAAGACTTCCCAAGTTGCTTCGTTTACCTAATTAGGGTACCTTATTTTGGGGTCCTTATAATAAGGATCCTACTATTTAGGGTGCTACATTAGGCTTCAACGAGAGGAGTTAGGACTTGCTGCAAGCTGCGCAATTTGGCGCTCTGTGCCTGTCTTGCCGAACGCGGCGCTGACAAGAGTTCCGCGCGGCGTTCGAGAAGGACTGGCGAGAAAAGGCGTCAAAACCCCGAGCCCGGATTCCACAACGCTTTCTTGAGCTTACCGTAGTGTTCTTATAAGGATGTTTGGTGGCTTTTATGTATTGCAAAAAGAACGCTCCAAGGGCTTATCAAAACTAGCATGCCCATTATGCTTCTAACGGCATTTCGGGCTTTAGGGCTGTGGGGGAGGATATCCTTGAACTTGCCCTGAATCCCGAATCTCTGCAATCCGTTCTCCGGGCGAAGCCTGCGAGAGCCCTACTTAGAGGATCATGGGACTTAGAATTTAGGCGTATAAATAAGGTAGCTACAGCTATATGTAATTATAACTACTTATAGGCCTACTTACTAAGTCCCATGATCCTCCAAGTAGTGTTGGTACGTAGTAACCCTGACAGTAGCACCAAGGGCTCCCGTCCAGAAAGTGACCCCTATAAGTATTACAGAACCCTAAACCCAAACCCTTACAGTACATCAATCCGTACAGTAACGCTTGTAGCACTTTTGTAAAATAACCCTTAACCCTCAACCCTAAACGTTTCTAAAACAAAAAGCCCCAAACCCTAAACCCTTATAACTCTCGTAGGAACCCCTCTCTAGGACATTTTAAGATGGGTAGTTACCGTCATAGGAGCCTTATAGAAGGTAGTATATACCTTATAGAAGCCCTATATACCCTAAACTCCCCACCTGTAGCTTCCTTTAACCCTAATAACCCTAAACCCTAAACCCTAAACCCCTAGCCTTACAGAAGGAAGTATATACCTTATAGAAGCCCTATATACCCTAAACTCCCCACCTGTAGCTTCCTTTAACCCTAATAACCCTAAACCCTAAACCCTAAACCCCTAGCCTCATAGAAGGTAGTATATACCTTATAGAAGCCCTATATACCCTACACTCCCCACCCGTAGGAAGCACCGTGGAAGCCTCCAGGCCTTGCGTTGGGAAGCCCGGGATTTCTCGGGCGGAAGCCCAGCTGCGCCCTACCTGCAGAACCTGAAGGCCGCTACTTAGGGGTTGAAGGTTCCTTAGAGGGTTCCTTAGAGGGGTTCTGTAGGGTTTTTAGTGTTCCTTTAACGGGTTCCTTAAAGGGATCTATAGGGTTTAAGGGTTCCTTTAAAGGGTTCCTTTTTGGGATCTATAGGGTCTACGGGTTCCTTTTCGGGTTCCTTTTAATGGGTCCTTAAAGGGATCCATGGGGTTTAAGGGTTCCTTAAAGGGATCTATAGGGTTTAGGGTGTAGAGTTTAGATTTAGGGTTCAGGGGACAACAATCTGATTTAAGTCTAGAGTGCTCAAGGGGTTGCCATAGAGCCTGTAGTTTGCGAGTGGTTCGGATTGAGACTATGGTAGCGGATACTCGGTCACTTATATAAGGAGTGAAGGGGCAGAGCCAACACTTCGGCGCAGCCAGTCAATTCTTGCTTGTGGTCGCACTTGATGTGCTGTCTGTAGTCGACGCGTACGTTTGGCTAGAGGCATCAAGAATCCCCTAAACCCTAATCCCCAAACCCTATACTAGTCCCTGACCCCAAAGTCCCAAACCCAAATTCCCAAAAACCCAAGCTCCCCAAAACCTATAAACTCTAATCCCTAACACCACATCCCCCAAGCCTAAAAACCCCAAAGCTTCCGAAGCCGGGCG